AAACTGCAAGGACTCGTCCAAGCAGTCACTGCAGGGTCAGCAATGACTGAGTGCAGACCAAAAAAAAAAAAAGGGATTCAGCAACATCTGTTGTTTGACAACAATAGAAGAGTTAAGATCAACCTTTGATCTTTAGACCAATCATAGAATTGACATGCCTTTTACAGTCAGTGAAACTGATTATTTCTGAAAACTGATTCTTGAAGATGGTCAAAACTGAATGATGGAAAAGTTACTTGTATAAATATGCGTTATTTAATTTAAGGAGCAGAGAATGGAAGAATTGAAAGTGTGACTGTTTTGAACTGTGGATAATTCATATACCCTAATATCAAGAACTATAAGTTGGATCTAGCTTTAGGTACAAGTTACTAAGTTAGCAAAAGTATGTTTATTTGGCCCTTGTCTTATTAATAGTCATTTCAGACTTCCAGAAACCATGCCACCCCTGCTGAATATGGTAGATGTAATAGAACAAGGATTCCAGAGAACTGGGAGGAGATATTTTTAGCTAGGTGTCTTTATTGAATATCAGGGACCTCCTTCCATGGTTGGCTTCCCTCAGCAAGATCCTCTATTCTGTGTAGCTTTTTAGGCAGTGTCAGTTCCAGTGTTAGTTCTTAAATATTTATTCCTTTTTTTAAGCCATATCCAGAAGATCCAGCAGTATACAAACCACTCTCCCAAGAAGAGCTGCAGAGGATAAAAAATGAAAAGAAACAGAAACAAAATGAGAGAAAACAGAAGATATCAGAGAATCGTAAGCATCTGGCCAGTGTACGGGTTGTACAGAAGAATCTTGTTTTTGTAGTAGGTTTATCCCAGCGTCTAGCAGACCCAGAGGTAAGCAGTTTTTAGCAGTGCACCCTTCACTTTTCCAGTGTATTATTTTTTTTAAAAAGGTACTGCTTTCAATTTATAAATAGAATTTTAAAAATGTCCAAATACCAACATTAATGACAACAACAACAAAAAAGGAATAACAAAGAAGAGGAAAGAAACAAAATGTAAAACTAGCTAAAAAAAAAAAGTATGCCTGGTTTAAAACCCTGGATGGAAAAATGTTCGCTTTCTACATTCAATTTTATTGAAATTGTGGAAAGTTGTAAACAATATTACTCCATGCAGTCAAGATTTTATTTATTAAGATTTGAGCCTCTGAGAATATCTGTATTCTGAATTTTGCATTGTACATTAAGTATGTTCAGGTTGCTAAATAAGATTATTATTCTGGACTTTTCAGAAGTATTTAATACAGTAGTCATGGTATTTTTTGCAGGTTGGGTTGCCTGGTACTAGAAGCCAAATTTAAAAGATGAAAGTTTCCTGGAAGCCCAATTTAAAAGATGTTTTTCAAAGCCAGTAAAAATAGCTTAAGCTAAGTATATCTTAAACAGTGGTATGAGTTTTAAGTAAACAACTTGCAATTATAAAATTTATTTTTGTTATATTATTCAATATAGGTTTTGAAAAGGCCAGAATATTTTGGAAAATTTGGTAAAATACACAAAGTTGTCATCAACAACAGCACATCATATGCAGGCTCACAGGTAAGATGTTGTTTTGTACTTCTGGGGAAAAGAAGCAAATCCAATGTTTCTGTGAATGTAAACAGCTGTGTGTCAATATACCATGTGTTCATATTTTACTTAATGATGTAATAACTAAAGTTCAGTCAAAAACACAACCCAAAATACTACAATATAATTTAAGAGAATTCTCAAATTATGGGCATACAGAATACAGAATTCTGCTTATTTTGACTCATCTATTTAATTCTCTTTTGGTATTTATACATATGTTCATATTCCATGCTGAAGTGTTTGAATCACCTTTGTTCAGTTAATGCTATGATTAATATATTAAATTTATTATAATTTTCTCATAAGAAAGTAATTGTTAATATACCTCTAATCGAGAAAATACTATATTGAGGTAGGCATGCTAATGCCATATTAATATTCAGATTCACTTTTATCTCAAAGTGAATTACTTGATAGGACTGTGCAGCCTTCAAAAGTCAGCAGCATTAAGAAGTTGCTGAGAAGTGCTGTGTGAGTGCCTACATGGGCTTTAGTGGTACCATTTCCCATTGAATTTAAAGTGCTGCACAGCTGTATTATTTTGAACAGTTAGTTTTAAATGCTAAAGGAACAAATAGAATCCTAGGAAACAAATGAATTTAATTGCATAATAAAGATTCTTGGATAATTATGGTGTTAGCATTTTCCTGACTGTCTTACCAAATTATATAGAAATTTAGGTATAAAGAGTAACATGCTGATCTGAGAATTTACTAGTTCAAATATCTCTTAAGTCATAAAGTCTTAGGTGAATTTTAAGAAATTACTGTTTTTCCACAAAACAGTATTTTATGATTTTTAGTTGATTTGGTCTATTGATTGTATTTACACATGTGTAAAATGGTCTTGAAACAAGAAATTAATTCTATTTATTCTTAAGCTGCAGAATTGTGTCACAACAAACATTTTAGAAATATTCTTATCTTTTATTTGTGTAATAGAACAGAAATAGCTTCTAAGATATTTCTTGCCAGCAGTATAGTTGTTTTTTAACCGTATAAAAATACCTTTGTTAATCAGGTTTACCTTTACATTCAGTTTAATTGTACATTAATCATACATTGCAGTCCTAATTATTACTAATTTTACAATAAATTATAGTAATTTGGAAGGCTTTATCAGGGCTTTTTTTGTAAGTTAAGTTTTACTTAAGTTTTACATTTGGCCTTTAACTTCATAAAATTCAAAGTACTTAAGAACTGACTTGTAATTTTTTTAAAAATCTAGGGTCCAAGTGCAAGTGCATATGTAACATACATCCGGTCAGAAGATGCACTCAGAGCTATACAGTGCGTTAATAATGTGGTAGTAGATGGAAGAACACTTAAGGTAATGTTAACAAATATTTTGTAACTATAGCATATGCTGCTGTATAAGAATTTACCCAAAGGGAAGGCAAGATGTATCCAAAGGGAAGACAAAGGGAGGATTCTCTTACATTTGGCAAATAAAGACAGGCACTGTTGAAGGCAAAGGTAAGGGTGGAAGATGGCTGTATCTAGTTGCAAATACTGTAAACCACTTGTCCGAAGACTCAGGCAAGGAAGAGAAGGTGTTCATATTGTTTTTGCCTTTTTAAGGCACACGTTTTTCTAGAATCCTCATTCTAGATGGCAATGACTTTTCTTCACCCTCCCTACTCCCTGCCTAATTGTAGACACTTACTGGAAAACTGGGAGATGAAATAAATGTACTTTTACCCCATCTCAACTTGAATGGGAATAGACTATTGTAGGATTAATGACTGACAAGTTTAAAAATCTTTTGCATATTTATCTGGGAGTAACAGCCATTGAACTCAGTGGGACATACTTCAGAATAAACATACATAGGTTTATACTTGCTAAGCTCAGTACAGGAAGTCCTCACTTAATGACCACAATTAGGACCAGCAACTCCATCACTGAGTGACGTGGTCATTAAATGAAACATCACATGACTGCATTCAACTTATGACATCAGTTCCACTGCGGTCATTAAGCAAATCACCATGGTCGTTAAGTGTGACATCACTTGACTGTGACTTGCGACTTATTGTTGGCTTCCCCAATGACTTTGTCTGTTGGAAGTCGGCTGTGAAGGTCACAAATGGTGATCACGTGACTGCAGGATGCTGCAGTGGCCGTAAGATCAAGGACCGGTCAGAAATTATAAGTTTGAATGGTTGCTGAACAAGGGAGTTGTTAACTGAGGACTACCTATATATAGTCATGTGAAAAAGTAAGTACCATGTAAAAACCCATGTAAAGCTTTTTTCTTACACATATATGGAGATATCTATATTTTATCTTCATTCAAATTAATGGTGATGTAATTGAACAAAAAAACTATGAGAAATTGACTTTGCATTCATTTATTCAACAAAAAAATTAACAGATATGTTATTTCCTTCTTTCCTTATGAAAGCAAATACATTGTCATCTTTGAAAATTCTTGACATGCTACATTTTTCATCAGGCATCTTTAGGAACCACAAAGTACTGCAGTTACTTTCTGAAGAACATGCAGTGTCCAAAGCCAGACTGTATGTACCTACATGAACTAGGGGATGAAGCAGCCAGTTTCACAAAAGAAGAGATGCAGGTAGGTATATTGAGAGTTGATGTTTTTGTCCTAATCCACTCCTCTCTCCAAAGGTTGATCCTGCAAAGCAAAACATGGCTCCCCCCCAACCATAATTGCTATATTTAAGATTTAGTAGAATCAAGTATAGAAAGGAATGAGCCAGATCTAAAGGCTATAAGCACAATTCCCAAGAAAAGATACAGCTACTGTAAGGAGTTACAGGTGATTCATTTGCAGTTCCAGCACACTCTCACAACTTTTTGGAAATGAATCCAAAGCACTACTCAGGTAGATAAATAAATAGATAGGAACATGGTCAGATCATCGAATCTTCTGAAATGTGAAAGTTCTAGCTGAAAATCTCAGTATTTTGAATGAGAATGTTAACATTTTGTAATACTTTTGAATGAGAATACTGAAATCATATGAAATTTTGGGCAATAATACTAAAATCTAATTGTGTGGTGGCACAAAAATTCTATTCCCTCCCCCCTTGCCCCATTTTTTTTTTACTGCTAATTCCTTTGCTGTTGTTAGTTGATCCTAAAAGGCAAAAGCTATCCACCGCTTCAATATCTTTATTGTCAAAATTAAGCAGTATTTGAGTGATTTTTTGCAAGCTTCAAATTTGTTAGGATCAAACCAGGAATTTTGAGCTTTAAAATTATTAAATTTTAATTAAATTAAAATTATACATGGGGAAAAATGAGCTGGACATTTAAATATTTTCCCGCTCTCTCTGGGAGATGGGCAGCATATAAGTTTAATAATAAAAAATAAATAAAAATATTTCATGGTAGAAATGGATAGAGCACATTAATTGTGCAAAAGAATTATATATCCGTTTATCAAAGGTTATGTAAGGATCTTTGCAAAAGTTAACATTAATTGAAACTTGAATAGTAAACCTTATTTTACAAATCAAAATTAGCACCCTTGCTAAATCAGTGTAAAATGTTAAATTATAGATGTCATGGGTTGAACTAAGATTTCAATCATATTAGAAATTCTAATTCAGTTTACAGATAGCCTCATTTAGCTACCGTTTGCAGTTACAACAGTGATGAAAAAGTAACTCTGCAACCAATCCTTGCATTTATGACCTTTGCAGGTCTGTAAAGCAAAGGAAAGCTGAAGTAAGATCATAAGCACAGTTGTGGTTTCACTTAGTGACCACTTCACTTAACGACCGGGTTGCTAGTCCTAATTATGGTCACTAAACAAGGATTACCTGTATTGTATTACAAGTCT